CGTAAGTATACATCTTGTGCTGCGCGGGGCTGATTAATTTCAGAATTTATCATCTCATTTTGTTTATTTTTGCCTCTCTATCAAACTTTCACATAACCAATGTCAGTTATTGTAATCTTAGCATTTGCTAAATATATGTAGGTGAAATTAATCGAATGTCTGGTCTTGTGGGAACTCCTAAATCTCCTCAGATGTCTACCTCAGCTCTTGAGATTAACGTGTCACTTTTTCCATGAATATACTGCTCAAACTGCTTATCGCGATTCTTTTGATCATGGATCAAATTTCGTTTTTGTGCGCAGGTCATTCATGCGGAAAGTCATCTGTGAAAAGTTATGGTTGATCGAAAACGCAAGGCCATGCAAAATCCCTCAGGTTTTATCATGACTCCTGGGATTGCTTTATGATTTTTTGGCTCTACATTCACTTTTTCACATTTTTTGTTGAATCATAGGACTGTTAGCCTGAAACTCAGCTTTCGCATATTCAAATTAGTGCACGATTTAGTTGGGTCGTTACTGACATACTCTTTATTTGTGAGAATTCATTGAGGCGCTGTAAATATTAAAAATAATGCAAACTTGAATTTTAGTTGCTGCTTATTTTTCTACTGTTGTTTGAAAGTTGTTTTGAATGAGTAGTAGTCGTAAATATTTTCTTTTATTAAGACTTTTACCTCTTTTCCTACTCGTGTTGATCTTGTGGAAGATACTCTTTGAATATCAGAGTTTTTGTCTTCATTAAGGAAATCAAAAAGAAGCAACTACGATCTCCCTTTTGCTTAGTCTTCTATTAGACTCACTACCACCCATAAATTGCTTTAAGTCGTGAATCGTTAAAGGCAAGAATTTCGTTGCATTTATAGCTCTTTTCTTGGAAAACACTTCTTGTCTGTTTACTGATTTATAGTCTTGTCAATGAATAATTTATAAATTAGACTAACTTGCATGCCAACCGCGCTTGCTTAGCATTTAGAGGATTAAGGCTAGCAGTTTTTTGAAATTTAGTTGAGAGTTTTCTTAGAGACGGGCAGCTCTTGTTATTCTCAGCATGAGACCTGAATTTTAATGAATACAGATAGCAGTTCTCGTAATAAACATATTTATAGCTTAGTAATGTCTGGCAGCCTAGGATAAAAATATGAAATCTCAATAATTCAATGAGAGGTAGCTATCAGTCACTGTTACGAAATTAACAGACCGCAAAGCTACTCCAGCATCCTAGAGTGGAAAGAAGGGGAAAAAATGGTAATTCATAAAAGCTATTTCCTTAAGTGATAACCATATTTGTAATCAACTGGCCCTAATGCACCAAGTTTCAGCACTCTTGAGCGAAAAGTATTAAAAAAACCGCTACATCTTATCACATATCAGTAGCATATCAGCTTGCCTTAGTGCAGCAATTCAACTTTCTAGAATAAATGTCTGGCAAATTAAATCAAATGTTTCTGGATGTACACTCTACGCTATCCGCAGTGTGCCAAAATGTACGTGTAGAGTTTGACCCAAAATATTGAAAAGGAAAATATTTTCTTCGAAAGAGCACCGCCATACACACCATATACACCATAG